ATTTCTTGTGCAGATAACCAATGGGACGCAAAGAAGGATTTGCACGGCACCTACCCACTTGCAGACTTGTAATCATTAACTTGAACCCTCCAATTATAAATAGAGGACATCTCTCTCATCTACGGGATTGACTAATCTTAGTCTAAAATAACTTACACATTTTCTCTCTCTTTTTGTATTCTCTCTAGATTATAACTTAGCTCGCTACACACGACTTGATTTTATCCATCTATTAATACAATAGTAGTGGACGTAGGATTCGCTTTTGAGCATTCGAACCACTTTAAATATCGCTTCTCATTCATTGTTTCATTTCATGTTTTCTTATCACGTGTGATTTCTAAGTCCGCTTAGCACTCTGTATGTGTAAGTCGTTGGTGTCAAAATCAAACATCAATATATAATATGGCTAAAATACTGATACCACTACTTGTTCGGTTTAGTGGGCTGAGCTTAAAAGAGTTTCTGGCCATTTAAATAGCTTATATATGTGTCACACTTTTCCTCCTTTTGCAAAGCAATCAGCTGCTTTATTACATCATGTTGGACATAAGTTACATGAAGTTTTTCAATTGAAACAAGGGCGATACTCGGATCTTCCTTCTGCGAAGATTTCAGAGATGATGAAATCAAATACTTTAGACGTGAGTAGAGGTGGAACATTTGGGCTGGGTTAGGCGGGTCAACCCTAACCCAGCCCGTAAAGATTCAGGTTAAACTCAGACCGCCAAGATGGCAGGCCGGGTTGACCCTAACCCGGCAGCAACTCCCGGGCGGGCTGGGTTGCATAATGGCAACCCGCAACCAGGCGGGTTGCTGCTTTATCTCTTTTGCAAGAGACCCATCAACCCAGTGGGTTGTAACGGCCAACCCGCCGGGTTGCAACAGCCAACCAGGTGGGTTGGCCGAAAAAAATAAAAAAAAAAAATATTTTATTTTATTTTTAATATTTTATTTTTCAAATTACCCTTTTACCTTTGAAATATAGCCATTTTATAACTGTTGGAGGGATCTTTTTCATCATTTTTCTTTCCCATTTTTTCCTATAAATTGGCCCTAAACTCTCACATTTTTCTCACAACTCAAATTCTCTCATTCTCTCATATTCTCTAATCTCTAATCTCTCAATTATTCATTTATTCTCTTAATCTCTTTGTTATCAATTTGCTCGTATTTTAATTTTTATTAGTTTTTGCAATTTTTAATTCATATTTCCAATTTTCCAAATTCCAATTCTCTTTCTTTAATTTTTATTTCTTCTACATCAATTTTTTTTTAACTACAATGGATAGATATTTCTCTCCCATCAATTTCAATGATGAAGAAAACTACTATCCTAGTCCTAGTCCCGCTGATTTTACTATGAATGCAGGAGATTCAAATAGTCCCGCTGTCCCAATCCCAGTCTCAGAATCCGATACACCTCAAAATATGCCGTCGATTCCAACAGCTCCCGGTGGTTCTAGAAGTCGTCCTCGTAATCGTTGTCCTCGTCCAACTCCATCTCAAGTTGAGACGGGTTCATCAACTGCCGTCGAAACCGAAGACAGGCACACATCAGACGTTTGGGCGCATTTCGACAAGTTTTACGAGACAGAAAATGGCGTTCAAGTGAAGAAAGCAAGATGCAAATATTGTGGAAATGTTTATAAAGCTGATTCAGGTAATGGTACTAGTACTTTAAAAAGGCATGCTAATAAACATATTAATCAACATGGAAATAGAGAAAGCAATCAAACTCAAATAACTAATATGGGTACTAATTGGCGTTATAATTCTGATGTATATAGAGAACAATTAGTTTTATATATTGCTGCAACTGATCAACCTATTAATATGGCTGAAGATAAATATTTTGAAAGATTTGTTCAAAATTCATTTTTTCCAGGATTTAAAAGTTATTCTAAAACTGCAACTAGAAATGATTTAATAAAATTGTTTAAAAAAATGAAATTAGAATTAAAAAATAAAATACATACTTGTCATGTTAGTGTGGCTCTAACTGCCGATATTTGGAGTGGTAGAGCTAAACAAGATTATATTTGTGTGACTAGTCATTATTTTGATAATGAATGTAAATTAAATAAATCTTTATTAGGATTTAGATTAATGGATGTTGATCATAGTGGTGAACAAATTTATAATAAAATTGTTGAAGTTTTAGAAGATTATGATGTTGTTAGTAAAGTGATAAGTTTAACTTTAGATAATGCAAGTTCTAATAGTAAAGCTATAGATTATTTTCAAAGTAATTATCCTTTATATAACAATTTGAAGTTTTTTCACCAACGTTGTGCATGCCATGTTATTAATTTAATTGTGAAAAGTGGTATGAAAACAATTAAAGAAAATATTAATAGAATTAGAGATTGTTTAGCTTGGATTACTAGTAGTAATAAAAGAAATGCTGAATTTCAAGACGCTTGTATAAAATCAAATATGTCTCCTAGAACTTTTGCATTAGACATGCCTGTTAGATGGAATAGTACTTATTTAATGCTTGATTCATGTTTACCTTATGCTAATATAATTAGTTATTTTGTAGCAAATAATAGAGATCCTCATTATTTGGTAGAAAATGATTGGCATATAGCTAAAGTATTTCATTCTTTTCTTAAAACTTTTTACCAATCCACTTTACAACTTTCTGGTGTGTATTATCCTACTAGTCCATTGGTAATACATACAATTATAAAAATTTCCGAGTTATTTATAAAAAACAAAGACAATGTAATTTTAAATGCACCAATAAAGGCAATGGAATTTTTTTTTAAAAAAATATTGGGAACCCATTCATTTTCTTTATTGTTTAGGTGCTATATTTGATCCTAGAATTAAATTAGCAGGTTTAGAAAATGGTTTTGACAGTTTATGTGAAAATTTACAAACCAAAGCATATGCCAATCAAATAGGAGAGGTAAAAAATACACTTTTCGAAGTATATTTCCAGTATGAAAACAGGTATAGGAACCCGCAAAGAGGCGAAACATCCAGGGAAGCTGCATCAGAAGAAACAAATGAAGACTTCTACTCTTGGGGTGCACTGAATAGGCCGAAGAGGACCCGAATCCGAAGTAGAACCTCCTCTTCAGAAGCTCCACTAACAACAACAACTAACGTACTGTCTTCCATGCAGTCGCAGAGTAATGAGCTTCAACAATATTTGGCAACCCCTGAAATGTTACCAGTAGATCCACAACAGAGAGCCAACTTTGATCTCTTAGACTATTGGAGAGCTAGAAAATGTATTTTTCCAGTATTATCAAGACTTGCCTTGGATGTTTTCGTTGTTCCTGTCTCAACCGTCTCATCCGAACAAACATTTAGTGCAAGTGGAAGAATTTTAAATGAAAGGAGGACTAAACTTTCACCACAATTGATTAAAGTCCTCACATGTCTTTGAGATTGGGAACGATCGTGCCATCAAGGTCAATACGAGGTTGTCGACGATACTTTAATAGAATCATTTCAATTTTGTAATATAGATGATACGGATGAGGGAGGTCCTAGTGAACCCTAAAATTAGTTGTTTTGTAAATTGTAACTTGACAAATTAATTGTCAATTATTGCACTTTTTTTTTCCTTACCAAGTTTTTGTCCTATTGGGTTTTTCTTGGTGAGGTTTTTAACGAGGCAATAATTATTGTAATTTCTTATTTTATTTTTTAATAAATGAATAAATTTAATTATTCTTATATTACAATTTTAATGTATTAAAATTAAATTAATATTTGGAATGTTAACCAAAAAAAAAAATTAATTTAGTTTAATTATTGATATTTGAAAAGAAGTTTACAATTAACTAAAAACAATTACATTTATTCATTTATAAATTGTTAATTATTCATTTGAAAAGTTAATTAAACATTTAAACTTAAACAAAATAAAACAAAACAAAATTTAAAAAAAAAAATCAAAAAGCGGGTTAACCCGGCCCAACCCGCGCCTAACTCGACAGGTTAGGGTTGGCGGTCCGGGTTGGGCCAGCCAATTCCTTAATATTGGCAGGCCTAATCCGGCCTGCTAATGTCATCGGATGAGTCAGGATCGATCTACCATTAACAGCAACCCGCCGCAGGCCGGGCCGGGCGGGTTGCTTTTCCACCTCCAGAGGTGAGTCTTCAGTCTTTTTATGACAGACATTCATTCTATGCCGTCCTCTTAAATTTCTATTGGTCATTAATACTTCGTGAAATTACTATAGCGTGGGCAAAATGGTTATTAATATTCGAATATAAGGTATCATTAAAAGAACAAGAGGATGCAAGTTGGTACTAAAAGGCAATGAACAGCTAGCCAGCAACACGTGGTGTGACTTTCCATTCAGACGAGTCGGCACATCGTACGCACAACCCCATTTACATTCCCACACGCACTTCCCAACTACGCTTCCGATCATCGCAAATCGACGGCTAGTAATCTCTATGCGTCCACATGGAAAGAGATATAATTGTTCCGTCCGTGAAGTACAAACAGCGCATGGATAAAAGAGGACGTCTATCTGGAACCAAACAAGTATCGTCCTCCTGGTATTGTGGAATGTGGTTTGGATTCCCTTTCGTTTTTCAACCTTCTTTTCACTTCAATGCTTATCTGGAACCAAACAAGCATCGTCCTTTGACTTTGACTTTCATTTTTTAGTTTAATTACGGTGCCGGTGCTCTATTCTCAATTGAAATTTGTATGTGGATTAATTGGTGCTGGTTTTTTTATTTTTATTTCCCAAATGTCTTAACAAATTTTTAAATTTTAATATTTTTAAATCCTTGATTATTTAATATTTTGATTATGTGAAAAATGTTATATATTGCCCTTCTTTTTTTTTTTTTAAATTGTAGAAGAAAATACAAAATAAGAGTAAATTAGCCATTCTACTAAGATTTTGTGTCTATCAATGATAAGGGTGTACATGTTTCATTTTGAAACCTATGGGTCTCTTACCTTTCCCTACAACAATTGACCAGTTGGAGATATTTAACAAACATCAACTTAATTAGGATATGAAGAAACAATTTTCTTGACAGACTAATTAAATAGATTTACAATTGTTCAGCTGTATTCAACTTTTACTCAAATTCAAAACATTATTTCAGTTATTAGATAATATTAGCTATCAGCTATTATTTCAACGTGCTGCAACAACAATTCAGTCGTAAATAATAAAGTAGATGAACTTTGAAATACAGACACTAGAATTCCTACTTTAATTGAACTTAATTTCTTCATTTCGTCATTTTGGTTCATTGGGTGCTCCATTGTTTGTTGCTGATCCTTTTCTCTATTCTTTGCTTCGTTCTTCTTCCAACCTTTTAAAGCACATAATAAACTCATTATCTTCAATATATATGTATATATCGAAACCATGAGTTAAAGCACCGGAGCCACCGAGGCCACCGTTAGGCCTCTAGTGCAATAGTTTCAAGATATAACAAATATAATAAAATTAATAGAGGTTTCCTATAATGGCGAGCCCATATTTTATTTCATGAATGATATTGGGTAATTTTTATTTGAACTCATTATCTTGTGTTTTCATTATGGAAATATTTTTATTGATATAAAATCTAAAAGTTAGGAATGAATTAAATAACATTTAATCAAATATAAGTTTCGAAAATGCTAATATAAATGCTAATTTTATATATATATATATATGCGCGCCATTTGTTTCTCCTTTCCTTTCTTATCATTTTTACAACGCTAAAACTTAATACTTAACAAATTGTTTCTTTTTCCGTATAATAAATACTAAACTTGTTTCTTTGTTCCTTAAATATATAATTGATTTCAATATGTAAAGCTTCAATCATGATTAATTTGATTTTCTATTAAAAAATATGTTTCAAAATTCTTAAACTAATGATATAATTAATTATTTCATGTTTTTTCTTGTTATATATATATATATATATATATATGTTATAAGTAAATGATGTTGGATTTTTTTTGTATAGTACATAATCTATTTTATATATCATCTGGCCGCCTCTTACGTCTTAATTACAATCTTGGCTTCGCCCCTGAATACTTTGTTATAGATTTGATACCTTATACTAAGTCGATAAATAGGATGATGACATGTTATGAGTTAGGAGAAGTTACCAAGAGACGGATCGAAGCCTCTGGATTGAAGCTCCCTGTATTCTTGACAGAGAGCACACCAATGACAGCATAAATGAGCGGCCCAGTCCGGTGCAGGACTCTGTGGAAGGTTGAACTTTTTCCTCAGTTTAGTTCGGTAGTCTGCTGTCTGTTTACATAACCCATACTTCCACTTGCAGCATAAGCCTATCCCCAAGCCAATCGCCAAGCACATCCCCATGTAAAGCGTTATACTAGTACAACATGCTTTATTAATTTGAAGCAGCAGAAAACCATGTGTTAATTTAATTGGTAATAAAATCTATAAATTAAATTGGATTTATAATAAACATAAACAAATAAATAAAATAAAATAAATATTTCAATACTTACCGATGTTGCCTTCATCTACCATTTCTGCAACCTGACCGAACGTCACGCACGGGAACAAAGCAGTTACGAGAGCTGAAATGTAAGAAATTAAAAATTATTTTGTATTTATTGATTTTATTCATAGAGTTTTATTAAATTACTTAACCAACCCCCTTACGTTGATTCATGGTTACGTCCCTAAGCTAAAGTAGTGGCGGATAGCCACCCTGGACCCTACAAACTTTTTTAAAATTTATCAAGAAAAATATCAATTTATTCTCTATAAATTTAGTTTTACTTTTCTGGCCAGCCTTAGTTTTCGAACATAACACTTTAGTCCCTTATATGTAACTTCCCAATCACTCCTAACCCGGTTATTTATTGAAAATTATTTTGCCCCATAAAAATATTTTCTGTCTCCGCCCGTGGTGGCTGAAGTATTACTATAACTAAAACTTGAGTTTGAGTAAAACAAGTTCACACGTTACAAATCTATGGCCGCGATAAGACATTTACGCAGTTCAAAATGAAACCACTGAGTTTGAGAGAGAGAGAGAGAGGGAGAGTATCACCATTGCATGGATTATTGCAGCAAGCACATAGCCCACTTTTCCAAGCTTCAGCAGGCCGACCTGTTGGATTAGAATCTGGAGGCTGCGGTAAATCTGTCTCTGGTAACTTTGATTTATCATCTTCTTGTTCTGTTTGAACAGAGGGTTCAGAAACTGCACCCAAATCATCCATTAATGTCGACTCCTATTTCACCGAGTCTACGCTTCTAGGGAGAGTAGAGAGGTAGCTCAGTATTATATAAGGACGGCTAGCATTGTTCACTCCAACGTGTTAAAACCCGACCCAGGGGCCAACCCGGCCAAGCCACTGGGTGACGTCATTATGCTGATGCCAGTATACTGACATCATCATGACGTCAGTTTAAAAAAAAAAAGAAATGCAGATTTTAATCTAGAACTGTGATAATAAAAATTTCTGTCTGTGTCTCTGGTGACTGTGATCTATCATCTTCTTTTTCTGTTTGAGCAGGAGATTCAGAAACTACATCCAAATCTTCCATTAATGTGGACTCTTATTTCACTTTCACCAAGTCTTCGCTTGTAGAGAGAGTAGAGAGGTAGCTCAGTATTATATAAGGACAGCGGGTTGTATAATTTAGGACTGTACAAAATCGGATAACTGAACCGGTTTTGCTGAAAAATTCGGGTACCCTTAAAAGAGTACCCGCAAAACCGAACCGCTTTTAAGAGTATTCAGTTTTTCAAGTACCCTAATATTCAGATAAAAAACCGGATACTCGGTTTATGACCCGAATTTGAATATTTTTACATGAATTTTAATTTTTTACATTTCAAATTTCAATTTGCGAATACAATTTCTTTCATATACTAAATCAACTTTTAATTTAATAACTTAAATACTTAAGATTTGGGGTTTTTGCCTCTTGCTTTTTGAAAGTTAAAAGAAAATAGGTTTAAAAAACTAGGTTTTTTATTTTTTTATTTCTTAATAAACCGGGTACCGGGTATCCAGGTCTCTTAAAATAACTACCCGATACCTGTACCAAAAATTCGGATATCACATAATAAATACCCAAAACCGACACGAATTTTCGGGTTTGGTTCAGTTAACGGTTTTTTTTGCACACCCTTAGTTGTAGTTTGGTATCTGTCAATTTTTTTGTTTATTACTTAAAAAATTGACTCTTTTGACTCTTAAAAAAATTAAATATTTATAAAAAGTAAGATATCAAAAAAGAAAGTGTCATTATTTAAATATGATATTAACTATTTTGAGTTCCATGTTTGTGACCTAAATTTAAGAATTGGTCATTTTTAAAATCCACTACGTTATATATATATGATAACTCTCAAAACTTTATTCTAGTATGTCATATATATGACCAATAATATTTTACTTACAATTGAGTCATAAAAACATATAAAAATTATACAAAATTTATGTAAAATGATTACTATATCATTTATTTTTGTTTGTTTGTATGACTCAATTATACAACTCAATTGTAAGTATAATAGTGCTCATGTATAACAACTTTTAAACCTTAATTCATTGTCAGATTAGCTATATATACATCATATGTATAACCAATGTTTTTATACTTGCCCGGGTCAAATAAACCTTAATTCATTGTCCGATTATATATATATATACCAGATCGAACCTTGACCCAATCAAGGGGCCGGTCCTTGGGTGGGCGGTCTGACGTCAACATGAAACCCTTGAGAAATTACACATCAGTCCTTGTAAGTTTATAATCCAACAAACACACCCCTGTAATCTAGCTAGGAAACCTTAGCCGCCGCACCTCAAATGAGGAGAATATGAAAATCAGGATTAATTTTCATAGCTTTTTTATGATTATGTTGTTGAAATCACTATCTTGAGCAGTTAGCACACAAAAATGGACCAAACAAAACTTTAAACTATCACATGCAATTGCATGCATCAAGGTGTGTTCTTGGTCTTCCGAGTTCAACAGGAGTCTACCCCAGTAATTTCCTTAGCTCCTCCTTTGGCTCCCCAAAGAGATTGCAAATTTCAATTTGTTCTCTCTCAAATTCACTGGATTTGATTGGGAAATAAATTAAATTCAAGCAACTCTTGGAAAATAATTTTGATTTTGAACTATTTTTTAATTCTGTCACCAACCCATTTCGCTTACGAGGTTCCAGATGCACATCTTCATTATTTTTCCTCAAGTTAAATTACATTTTAGCCTCTAAGATTTGATATTTCTTCTCCAATTTTAAGAAAATAATAAAGACATTTTAAATGAACGGTAATCAATTTTGGCCAAATAATTTATCATTTTAGCTTTGATGTATTATAAAAATACCTGCTCTTTGGTCAAAATTTCTCATCGCTTGTACTTTCAGCCATTTGAAAAAAAATACTAACGGTTTATTCAAAGTACATATATATTTTTTATCATATGTAACACCGGTTCTCTAATTTTAGCATGATGCTATCAATAAAAATATAAACAAAATGTAATATAAAAAATTAATACTGAGGATAATTCTAACCCCAGTAAATTAGCATTTCTCTACCAAAAATAAAGACAAATAAATTAATCATAGATAAACCCTTGACTATCTTTTGGCAACTTCCCTCTAGGCTCTCTCAGTTCTCTTTGTAAGGTTGAATTTTCTCCTTTGTCAAATAATCAAATCAAATTCCCATATAAAGTTCATAAAACTCAATTAAATAATTGAAATCTCGATAAACCTTTTTTAAATTAATTAGCATCAAAGACCTTCGACCCTTATGTTCAAGCACGTGGTCGCATATACAATTGTAGGTTCAATTCAACCTACTCAAGTTTTGGAAAAAATAAGAAGTCCTTATATATTATAAAATTACAATTTTGACCTCACAAAAATTAGAATTAATTAACATTTTTTTTACTTTTTCTCTCTTTTTCATTTCCTTTCATTTTTCTCATACTTTCTTCTTCTTTTAATTGGATTACTGAAGAAAGGTTATTCCTTTGAAGGTTACAAATTAAGATGATACTCTTCTTTTTTTTGGCTTTAAAATCATTTCTTTTAGCTTTCTTAATGGATAAAAGATCATGAGCTATGAATTTTTATTGAGTTTAATAAATGGGTTTGAAATTGAAAGATTAAATTCCTAGATTTTGATGTAGGTTTTGATTTAATTTTGTTTATGTTTGAAGTATGGGTTAATTAATTATTCTTTTAAGTTAGGTTTAATAAATTTCGGTTAATTATTAAGTTAATTTTGAAGGGTTTAAAGAATTGATGAAACCTTAAGTTGTAGAGATTTGAGGATTTGATTTAATTTTGTATATAGGTTAATTCCTTGATATTTAGAATTAGATTTGATGAGTTTTTATGAGTTAAATTTTACTAGGTTAGTAGAGTTATAAGATTTGGGGCTTTTTTTTTTTTTTTTGCTTTATTAATTGATGAAAGATCATGAATAGTTTTTTTTGTTGAGTTTAATAAATGAGTTTGAAATTAGGATATTAAATTCCTAGATTTATGAATTTGTTATTATTAGTGAAGAGTTACTTTATAATATAAATATTAATATATTGTATCTAAAAATCCATGGTCTTATTATTCTTATATTAATTTATACACAAGAGAACCAGTCAAAAAGTTTAAAGGGATACTGAAAGCAGCCGGCACATGTTAAAATTTAATTTTAATTTTTTGAGTTTGAAATTAGGAGATTAAATTCCTAGATTTATGAATTTGTTATTATTAGTGATGAGTTACTTTATAATATAAATATTAATATATTGTATCTAAAAATCCATGGTCTTATTATTCTTATATTAATTTATACACAAGAGAACCAGTCAAAAAGTTTAAAGGGATACTGAAAGCAGCCAGCACATGTTAGAATTTAATTTTAATTTTTTCAACAAATAGTCCGTTAACTAAATCCATTGGCATTTTCATGCATGACAATCAAACCATCAATTCTTTGTTCTCACAAATGAATGAATACAAGAATCCAATATTCTAATGGAAAACAATGGTCCTGATAAAGATTGTAGCCAACAGAAATTACATCTTAATTAATTAATTAAAGTACGTAATTGACTAGTCCGAGAACTCTCCATCACAGAATTGGTACACTCCAACTAAGCTAAAGACAAAATAAGTAAAATTTATTTAGAAACAAAATTAACTACTCTATTTGGCATTTGCTACCAAAAATATTTGTATTGATTACATGATACAATTCGAATATGTGATAAGAAAGTACAGATTCCGTGGAAGTTATGACTAGGGATGAAACCAACTAAAACATTATCATTATAGCAATATATCTGTTAGGGAATTATTGATGATGAGCCTTGAAGTGGCACAATTTGCATGATAGTGCCTTGTTGCTTTCAACGTTTTGTTTGTTCAGCTGAGCTGACTTAAGAAGACTTAAACTTTTGATATTTACCAAATCTTTCTTCTTCTTCTTCTTCTTAAAAAAAAAAAAAAAAAAAAAAATTATCACATATGGATAATTTCAATAAAATTATCTTTGGTTTTGAACCATTCAACGCACATGTTAATGTTAGTTTGTCATTGTCACATATGGATAGGGCTGTGCAAAATCGGGTATCCGCTTCGGTTTTAACCAAAAATCGGGTATCTGAATATTCAGGTACCTCCAAAAATGTACCTGCTAACCGAGCCGGTTTTAAAATATCCGGTTTTACGGGTACCCGAAAATTTGGGTCACAAACTGGGTATCCGATTTTCTTACCCGAATTTCATTAAAATTACACAGCAGATTAGGAGAATGCAGAATTATTTCGCTTTGAAATTCATGTGTGTCATCTGTCAATCTTAGCTATTATTCGACAATGTCCAACACAAATCATTGAACCATACTAATCATTAATCAAACACATTCCAACAAAAAAGTAATCTCTAAACCATTATCATATATTCCTTGGGACCAATTCTTTTGATGCAGATCATATTGGAAGAATGGAAACAAACTATTTTCTTCAATTGAGCACCGATTTTGAGTCTTGACAAAATAGATCACAGGGGAATCTATCCTGGTAGAAACCAAAAAGAAAATTCAGCATAATGTCATTCCAGCAGTCCTATATATACAGACTCAAGAAATTAGCACAAAACTTCTAATGATTGAAGCAAATAATAAATTTATATGGACCACAACCACATCTAATCATATATATTCCAAGGATATAGAAATGTAAAACTTAAAGAAGAAAATTTGC